GATTTTATTGCAATACCAAAAAAAAAAAAAAAACAAAATTTGAAAAAAGTAAGTTTTAGTTATAGTTTTCATCGAAAAGTTTATTCTATCATCGACAAATATTAATCTTTGATCTTGCAAAGTATTATTTGATTTCCTTCTGTTAGGGATCTGATACCAAATAAACCCGAGACGATGATGATTAATCGGGTATTTATTTATTTAATCACAATTGTCTATTGGCTCCTCTGGTTTAATTTAAATTTAAACTAGATACAAAAAACTACTAATGGGATAACGGCAAAGGTAAGGGGGCCTATGCATATCTAGTCCTGTATTTCTAATAACAAATCCACTTAGTTAGGACTCTAAATAACAGCATTTTGAGTCAATGAAACATGCAAAAAAAATCTTCTAATGTAGCATTTCATACTGCCCTTTGCGATCCTCAGTTACTTGTGCCTGTTGAACAAAACAAAATCAAAAGGCATTCAGCCTGGTGATGCACTCTCATTAGCACCTCTGCCGTCAAGGCTACTCGAGGACCAAAAAATACATTTAAATTTCAGAATGTTGTTCCTTAAAGCGTTACTCAACCCTCACTAATTTATTAGCGTACAATTAGATAGTTTCCACCGTGTAGTGAAATATAAAATTTATTAATTATTTAATTGCATCTTGCACTCACGAATCTAAAGAGTAGCTTGAGTTGTCTAATACATACAAATTAAACAAGTTATTTACGTGAATAAAAATAGCTATACCAACTATTTAATCAGGCCATCTACTTGATCGCTATTGAAATTTATTTTTACATCAATGATTAAGCACAACAAAGCTAGTTACCTGTTGAGAACTCACAACTTATATTATTTTACAAATACTTAGAAAATAAGAGAATGGTGTTTACTAGAGTGGAAACAATGCCATCCATAGTCCCTGCACCTCTCAAGCCAACAAATTGTTCGAATGATAGTCGACACTTTCTTGATTCCAAAAGGGGCTCTGATTTCAGTATTGAAAAAAGTCAAGATATGGATATTAAACAACCAGATTGATCAAGTAAATTTAAATGTTTACCTTCACTCCAGAAATCTTGTCACATAGATTGTTGTTGTCACGTACATCCAGTTTCCAATGTTGTTCCACAAGTTGAAGTAGGAATCTCTCCATGAACGATTGAGAACGAGAGTCATAACAACACCACAAAATCCAGTAAAGAAACCAAATGCCATGCAGATATAAAAATCAAGTGTTATAAACCCCTCATCTTCTTCAAAAATATTCCCTTCTCCGCGATCAGTTGTAGAATCGTTAGAAATATCTCGAGGACACTCTACCAGAGGCTTCCCACAGAGTTGGGTATTCCCAACAAACGCATAGGAGTTGAAGCTTTGTAGTTGAGTGCCCAAAGGGATCTTTCCCGTCAAATTGTTGTATGATAAGTTCAAAACGCTGAGAAAATTTAGATGTGCAAGGCTCTTTGGTATCTCCCCTGAAAGCTGGTTTCTAGACAAGTCTAGGCATTCCAACGTTTCCATTTGACCAATATTTGAAATGATATTGCTCGTCAAATGATTTCTTGATAAGTTCAAGAAAACTAAACCTCTTAAAGCAGAAA